GTTGTGGCACCTGATCCAGGCCATGGTCTTTGCAATCGTTTGCTATGCATCAGAGAGCTGGACAATGACTAGGGATGATAGAAGGAGAATTAATGTCTTTGAGCTGTGGTGCTGGAGAAGAGTATTGAGTGTACCATGGACTGCTAATAGAATGAACAGATTCTGCCTAGAGAGGATGAAACCAGGCTGCTCCTTGGAGGCAAGGATTCTGAAGCTTCATCTGACATACCATAGCATGATGCAAGGAGGGACCACTCCTTGGAGAGGGAGTGTCATGCTTGGGATGGTGGAGGAACAGCGAAGAAGAGGAAGACCCTCGATAGGATGGATTGATTCAGTGACTGGGGTAATGGGGGTAGGTGTGTCAGAGACAATAAGATTGGCACAAGATAGAGCTGAGTTTAGGGCTGTTGTACACAGAGTCATTATGAGTCACAAGCAACATAACAGCACATAACAACAACATACACCACAGTGGCACTGGTGCTCAAATTATGTCCCTGAATCTGAAACCTAAAAGAATCTGTTAGAAATGTAAATTCCTAATCTTCACCTACCCACTACTGCCATGAAGTAAATCCCAATTCTTAATAACTATAGAGTACAGAATTTCCAAAGCTGTAAATCATTATAGACACAAATTGCATTTGTCTCTCCATCTGAGCAGCTTGTGAGTTTGAACCTCCAGCCTTTACCACTATGCCACTATACCTCTGAGACGTGTAAGTGATTTTAATGCAGTTCAAGTTTGAGCACCTCTATCAAGTGGGAGAAAGAAGGTCAATCTCCTTCCATGTGATTTATTGCCGCTGGAAACCCATTGGGAGGTCAGCTCTGAGTCTGTTCCAACTCAAGGTACATAACAAAAGCAGCAACCATACTGGTATGGAGCTTACTTGGGTAAGAGTGGCATTGCTAACTAGAGGATCACAGTTCAAACGTACTAGTCACTCCTGGGGAGAAAGTTGTGGCATTCTGCTTGTGTTGAAGTTGTTGTTAGATGCTGTAGAGTCGAGAATGATCCATAGCGACCCTATGAACAACAAATCTGAACCTTGTCCTCTCCTGTACCATCCTCATACTTCCTGATACAACAGAGCCCATTACAGCAGTCGCAGTGTCAATCCACTTGGTCAAGGGTATCCCTCTCCTTCACCGACCTTTCTGAGCATCATGTCCCTCTCCAAGGAGTAACCTAACCTCTCTGGTAATACCAACATGCTTAAAGTATGTGAGGCAAAGCTTTATCATCTTATGCACTTTCTCCAGAACATATGTGTTTGTTCTATTTCATAGTCCAAGGGATGTTTAGAACTCTTCTGCAACACCACAGCTCAAAGGCATCAGTTCTTTTCTGTCATCCTTATTCATTGTCCACTTTGCAGATCCATACAAGCGATTGAAAATATCCCGGTCTGAATCAGAGGCACTTGAATCAATCCTCAAGCTGACTTTATTACTCCTCAATAATTTGGAAAGGTCCCTAACTTCTAGGAAATCTGCTAGGAAATACCCTGAATCAGAATCATTACCTACCGAGAAGTTTGGTCTTGAATTTTTTTTTTTTTACCTTTTGTAGCAGGAGCCATACAAAGTAGTTGCTGCTAATTGTAATACCCACAAGGCAGAAAGTTGTGGTACTCCGCTCCGCTAAAGAGTTATAGACTTGTGTGCCAAATAAAGCAGTTCTACTGTGTCCAATTCTGAGTGAGAATTGACTCAAAGGGTTTGCTTGGGCCATGGGATCTAAGAGCATGGACACCTGTGTAGGTGCTCCCCACCTTATCAATTGTTGGGAACTTGGGGAATCCATTCAACCTCTGTGCTTCAGTTTCTTGGAAATAATTATGGTCATTAGCTCGCAAGGTGGTGTGAAGGTTAATTGAATTCCCATATAGGAAGCTCTTCAACCAGTGCCCAGTATTATTATCTATTTATTATAGCCATTGCTGTTGCTCTCATTACTGTTATTATTTATCTCCATGATCATTATTATTGTTGTCAGTATAGATCATTTCTACTCTGGATCACTTCTGGCTACATTCTTGCTTGGTATATGCACATTTCTTTTTTTCTGACAACACAGTCTCAATAGGGGTGAGGGAACATATTCTTTCCAGCAATCATCATTCATAAGGTAGGTTTCTCCTCGATGTAACAATGGATTCCAGTTCACTGTGGTTAGTTTCTTTGATCATCATTCATGCAGGTTTCTCATTCTTTGGCATTATTCTTTCTCTTTTGAAGAGATGATGGGACCACCCTTTCCATTTTTCTCCATTCTTCTTGTTTTGTTCTTGCATTGGTGGTGTAGTTTTATGAGGTTAAATATCTTCTTAATGTACCGTCAGTTCTTTTGTGTTTTAAAAAAGACTTTGTTTTCCTTCCTTTATCTCCAGGAAACAAATTCTCTGAAACATGAATTCTAAAAGATGACACAATACACCTTTTATTGGCTGAAGTGGGAAGGGATAAGATTGGTCTCTCTCTTCAATAGTGGCAAACACGTCAGAGAGATAGCTCCATTCTAAGGAGTACAATGCCAAGTAACAACTTAGGACACTATCATGAATCTAGAGATATAAATACTATTTCAAAGATAAAAGAAAACTAGTCAGGGCTTCTACTAATGGCTCATTTATAGGATTATTGTTTGCCAATTGTAAGTCAGTTTCAACTCATAACCACTCTAGGACAGAAACCCCATGACGTTTCCTATATTTCTTCTCCCAGGGAGCTATTGGTGATTTCAAACTGTCAACCTTTGGGTTATCCACCAAGTGCTCAACTATTGAACCACCAAGGCTCTAATTCTTGCTGCTGCTGTTAGCTACCATCGAGTCAAGTACAACTCATAGCAACCCTATGAACAGCCTACCTGAACCCAACCTGTGCCGTCTTCGTCATTCTGGACACACTAGAGCTCATTGTTGAAGTCACATTGGAGGTCTTCCTCATCTTCATTATCCCTCCATATTTCCAAGCATGATCTACTTTTCCAAGGAATAACCTCTCCTAGCTGCATATCCAAAGTATGAATGATGAAGTGTTGCCATCTTTGCCTCCAAGGAGCACTCTGACTGCACTTTTCCCAATATATATCTGTTTGTTCTTTTGGAAGTCCTTGGCCTGTACTCTTCTCCAGCACCACAGCTCAGAGGCATCAATTCTTCTTCTACCATCCTTATTCATTGTCCAGCTCTTTGATGCATAGTAGGTGATTGAGAAGACCATGGCCTGAATCAGATGCACCTTGGTCTTTTTATTCATGGGCTTAAAAAATGCCAACCAGTCATTACCATCAAGTCAATTCCAACTGACAGCCACCTCCTCTTGGCTTGCTGAGGCTGTAAAAACCTTTACAGGAGACTACTTCTCTTTCTCTCTTAGATTGAGCTGGTGGATTCATACTGCTGGTCCTTCTCTATTATCATTCTTTGCCTCCTTAACTTTAGGAAACTATTATTGTCCCCTAATAGTTTAGAAGTTAAGCCAAGTGGGTTGCAAATCACTAAGAGGAACAACAACCTAAATCAAGATATAAAATTATATGAAATACGTGTGTCAACAATAAAGCTTGTGGATGAAGCCAGTTGAGAAACAAAATGCTAGGAATTAAGAAGTCTAAATATAGAAAACATACATGGAAGATTGATGGTGTAGAGAGGAAGATGTGGTGGTCTTGTTAAGACAGTGTTGAAAAGTCACTGACTGAGTATGCCAGGAGTATATTTTGAGAATCTGTATCTCCAGGGTCCTGTGGGCAGGGGTAATTTCACTATAAAAAAGGTAATTATCATAGATAATTGGTGCATCAGAAAGAAGTGGAAAGAGTGCTGTTATGAGTTGGGACGTGTCTTTCCAAAACATAGACTGAAGTCCTAACCCTCAGGACTTGTGACTCTAACTTTGCTTGGTAATAGGGTCTTTGGAGATAGTATTTATTAACATGAGGTCAGAGTAGCGTAGGGTGAGTACCTAATTCTATGGTACCCTTATAAAAAAAGAACATACACAGAGGCAGAAAGGTCTCCACATGAATTAAATATCGAGGAAAGCCTGATCCTAATACAGGTCACGAAAGACAAAAAGGAATCTTCCTCTAGAACTTTCAGAGAGAGTATATCCCTTCAGGCACCTGGATTTAGACTCCCAGCCTGAGAACTAGGAATCTGGGAACTCAATGTTTGGTAGCTCTGGAAGTTCTTGGAAGCATGTGTCTGAGTGTGTGAGAGAAAGATACAAATGGATGGGTGTGTATGTGTGTGTGTGTGTGTGTGTGCTCATTTTTTTTTTCTTTTTCAGAAAAGCAGAAAGCTAAAAGAACCTCTTGAATTTACAGTAGATTACATTAAGCCTAGACTACTTATGGGAAGATTTTGTGGTGTACAGACAAGAATACTAGCTTTCAAAGACTTTGAATAGCTCTCCCTCTGCCACCAACCAGCTCTGTGATGAAGACTAGTCATTCTCATCTCAGCTGCCTCATTCGTGAAATGCATATCTTTTGAGATGATCTCAACTGTCCCTTCAACTCTAACATTCTGTGACGCAACCTTAATAATGCATTTCCACAGGCGGTAAAAATATTCTAAACTCTTCCCTTCCAGTTGCCACTGTTTACTTCCTCTGCACTTCCCCTTCCTGCCTCCGTTTGCTGGTCCGCTCACAGCGGGGCCTCTATAGGGGTGGGGGGACACGCTCTTGCCAGCAGGCTTTGCGAATGAGCTCCCTCAGATATCTCCACAGTGAGGACTATGGCTGGGGGTTCAGTTTAATTCTTAAAGCAGTTCTTGAGCCTTCCTTCTGTGCAGCACGCCAGAGTGCCAGGGACAGGGTGACTCTGAGTAAGAGTGGACAGCTGTGGGTGGTGCGGGTGGAAGGTCAGTGCTGCAGTCCAGTCCTTAGAGGAATAGTTAAGGGTTATTTCATTGAGGCACTCTCACAAACACTTATAAACACCATATGTCCCTCTTTCTTTCAGGCAGTAGCGGAACCCCATGATAGCCAGGTGGGTGAAGGGGAGCAAGAACATTCCATCTGCCGTAAGGAAGAGACCTTCTGACTTGCTGAGTTCCGATCAGGTAGTAAAAAAGACCCTGAGGGCATAGGGCACTGAGAGGGAGGGAGATGACAGAGTGGGCCAACGCTGCCTGCCTTTGAATATTGTCCACCAGCTGCCCTGTTTTCCATTGAAAGAGGCGGAAGAATTAAAAAGTCTTTTTTAGTCTTATCTCCCACTATACAACTACCAAAACCCTGAGGGGAGGTGTTATTTGTGTCACCAAGCCTAATGCTAACCTAATGATAACCAATTAATAGTCATTTGCCTTCAAATTGATTCTGACCCATGGTAATCTCACGTGTGTCAGAAAAGAACTGTGTGTCCGAGAGCTTCCAGTGGTGAGTTTTTCAGGAGTAGATTGCCAAACCTTTCTTCAAAGGCACCTCTCAGCCTTTCCTTTAGCAGCCACATACATTAACCTTTCACACCATCCAGGGACACAAAAATACAGCAAACAAGCTTTCAGCAGAAAGAGCAAAGGATACAGCCTATCTGGAGCCTGATCCACTGCCCATTTGAAAGAGAGCCTCAGACAGAAGCTCCATGGTGCTGTGTTCATGTGAACAGGGCCAAGGTTTCCAGAACCTGGCAGAAGACTGAGCTTGGAGCTTTGTTTGTGCCCACAGGGCACTTGGGTATCACTCAGACTCAAAACTTTAAGCCTCTGTTTTGTTTCAGTGGATTGAATGACATGCACTTTCCCCTAGAAGTTCCCTTTAAAAAAAAAAAAAGACAGGCAAAAACCTAGGCATGCAGTTACTTGTACCTAAGCTGCATCTGTCTTTGGCAGGACCAGCATTCTGAGCTTGTCTGTGCATTAGCCACTGTGGTGTTTTGTTTTCAAACTTGTATTGCGTTGGCTTTCCTCTTGGTTACTGAGAAGCACTGCTGAGGATATGATAAAACCCCCATTCATCGGTTATCCTGCATTTTTCTCCTAAATTGAGCCCCAAAGTAACTAGAGTCAGCCTCTCCAAAGTAAAGAAATTCTGAGTAACATCCCCTGTTCCTTGCAAAGAAACCAAAAAAGTGGCTTTCTTTTCCAAGAAAAAAACACAACCCCTAACAGCATTTCAAAGGTGCATTTGGCACGTGACACACGTGTAGTAGTGGAAAGAAAATGAGAATGCCTAGCAGGTCCTCCGCATCCTGAACAGGTTCTCTTTCCCCCTGGTGACCATTTCTGCTTCCTTTGTACCTGGAAGGGGATTACCCAGGGGATCACTTTCAGGACTTCTATTGGGACAATGTTGCACTAATTGTAAAGTTTATTACATGAATCACAGACCAATAGATACCAGTTCCTTTCTAAAAGGGGGAATTTCTTTTATCCTTAAAATACCAACAAGGTGAAATAAAAAACCATGTCAACCAGGTAGACTTACCCTGTAATCACTCCCATTATCTTTTCAAGGAATGTAGGGTGATTAATCAGGCAGATATATAAGACACTTTGTCGCTTGCAGCCAGGTTTTTCCTGTCTGCTAACATAGGCAAAGCATTCCCTGGGGCTGAGTGTGGGAGTCAGCGGCTCTCTGGGCAAGTCTTTTCTGCAGTAAAGGTAGATGTCTCCACTTACTTATCTTTTCATTTGTTCTTTAAAGTAGATTCCTTGTACTGGCTTAGTCCCAAAGAAGAAAAGCTAAATGGTTAACCATGGATTGTCACCTAAAATGATATATTGGTGGCACTTTTTGAAGAATAACTAGTATATTCACAAAGTCATTCATGATGCTGAAAAATTTGGTTTTAGTTGTCTGATAAATTAGTATTTTCTTTGGCTTTTTTTTTTTCAATGTATTGGAGAACTAAGAGAGATCATGGTTTCTAAATTATTATTGGATTGGGGGAAAATAAATTGCTAATAGATGGGATGTCATGTACATTGGTAATTTAATGTATTACCTGTTTTATTTATATTACGTTGGTATTCAAATTTTTATACATTCATATATATATATTAATAACTTTTTTTTTACATTTTTTTCCTTTATTTTTAATTGTGATCTTTTGTTTTTCTTGTGTACCATGAAGTTGGAACCGACTCATAGCTGACCCTCCAGGGGGTTTTCAGAGGCAGTTAATCACACAGGAAGAGATTATCCATCTTTCTCCTGTAATATATCAATAATTATCTTATATGGTAGAGTGTTGCTATATGTATCACCTTTGTTATCTATTTCTCCCCTGAGCAGTAGAATTGTGTTTCTGCTTTACAATAATGGGATATCCACGATAAACACACAAATGCAAATACGTGCTTATAATGAGAGATGTGCAACAGATAACAAGGATAGCATTGATTTTTAATATTAGGTGCTCTATTTGCATTTTACATTCATTTTTTTCTTTAATCAGCACAAAAAACCTGGAAAGTTGGTTTGGTACCTCTTTATAGAGAAGTGTGCCAGAGAGGTTGAATAGCTGACCTTACAGCTAGTAAATTGCAGAGGCTTCATTTAAAGCTGGGTATGCTTTTCTATAGCATCTACCATTCACCATTGTGTTGGGATCAACTCAACAAGACACCATGTGTGTCAGAGGAGACCTATGCTCCACAGAGTTCTTGAGGCTGATTCTTTTTTAAAAAAATTTTATATTAGACTGTTACATGATCACTGAGTCTTTCTCCTGAGGTGCCCTTGGGTGGACTGAAACCTCCAACCTTTCCATTTGCAGCTACCTATGTTACCCATTTGCTACCCCACCTCAAGTACCTCTGACATCTGTGTCCTTTCCTCCAGCCTGCTATCAACTTCAGGTACAATTCAGTTACATTCAGGATTTTGTGACATCTGTCTCTTCTTTCTCTCCAAAGTTTGCATATATAGTCATACTTACTTCACACATATTATTCTATTGTGCTCTTCTAGAAATTTGCCAACACCGAACCTTTAATGAAACACCTTTTTTCTTTGTCGTGTCCCTAGGTGGTCCCAGAACATGACCATGGACACCATTCATGTCAACATGTCCAGTGCTCCCCTGGTGAAGCACACCACGGGATCTGAACTCAAGACCAACAGACCCCGTGTCATGTCCAAAAGCGGACACAGCAATGTAAGAATCGACAAGGTGGATGGCATATATCTATTATACCTTCAGGACCTGTGGACCACCGTCATCGACATGAAGTGGAGATACAAGCTCACTCTGTTCGCAGCCACTTTTGTGATGACCTGGTTCCTCTTTGGAGTGATCTACTACGCCATTGCGTTCATTCATGGGGACCTGGAGCCGAGTGAGCACAGCTCCAATCACACGCCCTGCATCATGAAAGTAGACTCTTTAACAGGGGCGTTCCTCTTTTCCCTGGAGTCCCAGACAACCATTGGCTACGGAGTCCGCTCCATCACTGAGGAATGCCCGCATGCCATCTTCCTGCTGGTGGCTCAGCTGGTCATCACCACCTTGATTGAGATCTTCATCACGGGCACCTTTCTGGCCAAAATCGCAAGACCCAAAAAGCGAGCAGAGACCATCAAGTTCAGCCATTGCGCCGTCATCACCAAGCAGAACGGGAAGCTGTGCTTGGTGATCCAGGTGGCCAACATGAGGAAGAGTCTCCTGATCCAGTGCCAGCTCTCTGGCAAGCTCCTGCAGACGCACGTCACCAAGGAGGGAGAGCGCATCCTCCTCAACCAAGCCACCGTCAAGTTCCACGTGGATTCCTCTTCCGAGAGCCCCTTCCTCATTCTGCCCATGACGTTCTACCATGTGCTGGATGAGACAAGTCCCCTGAGAGACCTCACGCCTGAAAACCTAAAAGAGAAGGAATTTGAACTGGTGGTCCTCCTCAACGCCACTGTGGAGTCCACCAGCGCCGTCTGCCAGAGCCGGACATCGTACATCCCTGAGGAGATCTACTGGGGCTTTGAGTTTGTGCCTGTGGTTTCTCTTTCCAAAAATGGAAAGTACGTGGCTGATTTCAGTCAGTTCGAACAGATCCGGAAGAGCCCTGATTCTACTTTCTACTGTGCCGATTCTGAGAAGCAGAAACTAGAGGAGAAGTACAGGCAGGAGGATCAGAGAGAGAGAGAACTGAGGACACTTTTGCTACAACAGAGCAGGATCTGAGCTCGGTGGCATCGTCTCAGTTTGACTCTGCAAGCTGTCTCCTCGTCAGAACTCCTCCCGAAGGCAAAGGAAAAATGAAGATACGTGAACATGCGCTACAAAACACTGCATACTCACACAGAGTCAGTTCTTTCCTTTGATCTGGTGCCTCAACAAGCATTTCCGTGATGGAAGAAGACTCCCCTAAATACTTAAGTGAATGTTCAGAATTCAATTATTTTTTTATCATGGAGCTATATTTAAAAAAAAAAAAACAACATACTGAAGTAGGGCAATTAAACTGTGCCTTTCTGGAGGGACAGACCTTTAGCAAAACCGGCATTGAAAGGAAATGCACTTCTATCCAAGAATATCCGCTATAATATAAATTATTTATTTAATCCAGTATCAAAGACATTATGCCCAGGGGTTGAAATGTGGTTTCATCTTACAGCATTGCTTTACAACATATCTTTTTTTTGACCTTTGTTTTCAAATAAAGAAAATGTTCTCTCCAAGAGCATCAAGAAAAGTGGCAAGGGGGACTTCTACTCACAAAAGTAATAATTTAATTTTATTATTCTTCAGTGAGATGAATTGTACAGAGTGACATGGATCAAGCCAGAAATTAATTGTGAAAGCACTTATAAATGGAGGTATGTTTTTATTCACAGTAATTATTTTCTAATTCACATGTATTGATTAACTCGAAGTGAGCTCTGGTGACATAGTCCATATGAAATCATGTTGTCAGTTTTTCCAGTGATTTGAATCTACGAGCTTCTCCAAAGCAGAATGATGGGTAGTCTCCTCACATTGCCATTTACAGTGTTGGAGGGTCTCTCTGAGTTGGAATCAATACATTGGTGCTGTGTTACCAATCCAGTTGCCATCGACTACATTACGACTCATGGTTACTCCGTGTGTGTCTGAATTCTCCATAGAGGTTTAATGGCGCTTTTTTTTTAAAAAAGCTTGCCAGAATTTTCTTTCTCTGGACTCAAACCAACAACTTTATTGTTAACGACCAAACTCCTTAACCATTTGCACCACTCAGGAAGTCCTGGAATGCATGAGCTCCTTTCTATTCAAAATTTAGTTCTCAGTGTCCCTGGTGGTCTAGTGGTTAGGATTTGACACTGCCAAACTTTAGTTCTCAGACCAGTCTAATCAGCATCACCTAGAAGCATATTACAAATAGAGACTCGTAGCCCTTTCTAGACTTACTGAATGAGAATCTGTAGCTTAACAAGATTTCCAGGTGATTCATGTTTGCAATAAAGTATGAGAAGTTCTTCTCCGGACATTGTTGTTAATTCCACTTTCTACAGCCACAGAGATTCCTGACTGTGGATGCCATATCCTTCCTGGTGGCCTGGAGAGCAAGCACACCTTCTTTCTTCAGTTCGTTGTCATGAGCCAACATTTTCATTCCTGTCTATTAAAAATCCCTTATCTGTAAAAGAACTGTGTTGCATTATGAACTGACATTCTAGAAGCAGAGCATAATTCTTGTGAGTAATTATTGTATCGGCCCCACTAAATGTATGGCTTGTTAGTTACATTTGGCACAAAGGGAAAATAAAAGTATATATCAACAAAGGAAATTGTTTAGATGGCTGGGGCTGGGCAGTGAAGAAGAGGCTCTGAGGGTAAGAAATTAATAAACAAACTGATTCCTTGAAGCATGAGGGGAAATGTGATAATCTGTTAAGATGTACAGCGTATGGACACTGAGTATGTGAATAAACATATCTTAGCCAACAGTATTCTAGATATAGCAGCTTACCTCCAACTAGACTTGAGAGACTGGAGCCCTATGTGCTTGGAGAGGATGGGCTGGAATATGCCTAAGGTACATTCTTATGGATTGCAAAAAGAGGCATATTTTTATATTCAGTCAAAGGCATTGTATCCATAAATGTGCATGTGTTGCAGATGTACACTGGCATCTACATAAGTGTATGTGTGTGTACACATACACACATACATGCACACACATACATGCCAAACTTGGCAAGCATGATTTTAGGCATCATCGATGAAAGACTTTGCAATTAAGAGAGCAAGTCCTTAAAAAAGTACTCACACACGATTAGTTCAATGAGAGTATGAACATCAGGTTTCACAGAAATGAAAGTGCAAAACAGATTCAGGTTTTCAGTGAAATGATGAAATGCATCACATTAAATCTTGTCATATCCTGACGTGATTGTGTTTCCCAATCTCATCCCATCAAACAGAAAAAAATCACTAACTTGGAATGAAAGTAATCAAAAAAGGTATAAGAATAACAGGGGTTAAGTGAGTAAAGATATGTAAAACAATCTCAGTGCACGAAAGGGGAAAATTTGTCTCAATCATTCAGGATTGTTTTACTTGTTCTGTTGATAGTTTGATAACAGATTATGTCAGCTCTTTATCTTTAAAAATATTATATGTTAGTGTGGTTAAATATTAGTCCTTTCTGTCATTACCCTTGTTTTTATTGTCTGTTATGGTATAACTGACAAGAAAATACTGCCATAGACATTGTTTACAGCTCATCTGTTCCACTATTAAATTCTTTCATAGTATTTGCATTAATGTTAGTTTGAATGTGATAAATTTTAGAAATCTTGCTGGCTTACAGTATATGTGATATGATGATGTTGTCTAAATTCCTGAAAACTTTTTCAGTTTTCATCTAGCAAATGACAGTTTCAATTAAATTCAGAAGACTTTTTCACACTACAAACAGTGCCCTGATCTTTTTACCTTATGCACAAGACAAATATGCAGAGTATCTTAAAATTAACGTTTTCAAGTCAATAAATCATAATATGACATTCAGCAGAGTTGTGTTTGGTTTTCGTTTTATTAGTTCCCAGGAGTACTTTGTTGTTATTACTTTGTGTCAAATGCTATTGTCATCGTTTCTGGGTGTCAGAGTTAAGTCCCACTCTCAGTGACAAAGAAGATCTAGCCATTGGCTTTTCTTGGCAGTATCTTTACAGGAACCTCTAAGGAATTTGAACAGCTAATTTTCAGATTAGCAGCTGAACATTTAACTGTTATAGTACCAAGATTCTTGAACCAAAAACTATATAAACATGCTGACAAAAGATTCAGGTAACAAACTTATTTGATTCTTGGACAGTCTTCCAATAAAACACATTCATTCTCATCACCCAACTAAGCCAGGAGCTCTTGTGGCCTGATGGTAAGACTGGGCTGTAATCACAAGGCACACAGTTTGAATCCACCCGCTGCTCTGTGGGAGAATGATGGACAATCTCCTCCAGTGCCATTTACTGCTTCAGAAAACCCCCTGGAGGGTCAGCTTTGTGCTCTCAAATTGTGTGTGTCTTGACAGCATACTGCAACAACTCAACTAAGAAGTAGCCAAATGATTGGAGTATTTTTTGACAAAAAGGCCTTTTTACTGAGACTATTCAAAAACATTGTGTTTCATTTGGGAAATTGCAAAGTAAGTAGCAGCAAATTAGGTCTAGAAAATGTACATACACCGTACCTTGCAGCCAATAGCCCCAGGCAGTATCCTAAAGGTCCATTCATTACCCTTCACAATGGGGCAGGTCCACAGGGGTTCCCTCTTTCACCTGTGGCAAAATCACAGAGAAGAGTCTCCAGAAAATGAATACAATTGGTTTAAAATAGGAAATGTCATGCATTGTTGTTGCACTTGTTAGATGCTGTTGAGTCAAATACACCTCACAGCAACCCCATGAACAACAGATGGAAAGTGGCTCCTATGCTGGATGGTTGTCACAATCTCCACCATGATCAAGTGCATGGTTTCTTTTTATCACTGTGTCTATCCATCCTGTTGAGGGTTTTTCCCCTTTTTTGCTGATCCTCTACCTTTCTCAACATGATTTGTTTTTCAAAAGAGACTGGCCTTTCTTTCAATCATGCCACCACTGTGGAAAGCGGTATGGTGCTTTCTCAAAAAGTACAAATAGAGATACCATTTAACCCAGCAATTCCACTACTGGGAATATACCCCAAAGAAATCATAACTGACATCCAAGCAGACATGTTTATTGCGGCTTTGTTCACAATAGCAAGGAGTTGGAAACAACCTAAGTGCCCATCAACAAACAAATGGATAGAGAAGCTGTGGTATATTCACAGAATGGAATATTATGCTGCATTGAAAAACAAGGTACTCATGCAATATTATTCAAAATGGGTGACCCTGGAGGACATTATGGTGAGTGAAGTATCTCAGTCACAAAAGGACAAATACTGCATTGTGCCACTGTTGTAAAACAGGACTGACCTTGGGGTTGGGGAGAGACTGAGAAAGATAGGTTCAATAAGGTATACTGCATTGAAACAGATGAGGGAGAAAACTGTTTAAAAGGGATATGTGATTAGGTATATTTTCATCATGACAGGATTCTAGAGCGAAGGCTATATGGTGGAGTGGACCTGGGAGAGGGTTTGTAAAACAATGAAAGAATTTTTCTTTTACTTTTTTAAGAGGGTAGTGTACTAGGGCGGAGGGCTGAGAGGGGAGAAAAGTGCAACAATGAATGAACGGAAATCCAAAGTCTATGTAAATTTTTACTGAAATTAATAATAAATTTAAATTATAAAAAAGAGAGAGAGAGACTGGCCTTTCTTGACAACATGCCCAAAATATGTGAGATGAGCTTTCACAATCTTTATCTCTTTAGGAACACATTGGTTATACTTCCTCCAGGAAAGTCATGTTTGTTCTGTTTGCAACTATATATGTTCGATGTTCTTCACCAACACCACAATTTTAAGCGCATTGTTGTTGTTAGGTGTCATAGAGTGGAGTATGACTCAACACGACCCCATGAACAAGAGATCTGAATTCTGTTCTATCCTGCCTCACCTTCACACTTCCTGACACACTAAAGCCCACTGCAGCCATCACCGTGTCAGTCCACCTGGTTGAGGGTCTTCCTCTTCTTCGCCGATCCTGCACCCTTCCCAGTATCATGTCCCTCTCCAAGGAATAGCCCCTCCTAGCAACATGCCCAAAG